GTCTTGTGACTTTTAAAAGTTTATCCTTATTCAGTATACTAGGCATTTTCATTTTCACGTGTCTTGGAGAGATCTTTGTAATTTTGTACATTTGGTGTCCTGTTAGCCTCTTGTATTTGGTTTTCCAATTCATTTTTCATGCTTGGGAAATTTTCTGTTATTATCTCATTGAAGGAATTTGCATTCCCTTGGTTTGAAATGCTGTGTCTTCCTCTATCCCAATAACTCTTAGATTTGGTCTTTTGATGCTGTCGCATAATTATTGGATGTTCTGTTTATCGTTTCTTACTATTCACTGTGTGATCAACTTTATTTTCCAGATTGTATACTTTTGTCTTCATTATCTGAGGTTCTTTCTTCCAAGTGATCTAGTCTGTTGGTTATGTTCTCCATTGAGTTTTTAATTCAGTTTATTGTATCCTTCATTTCAAGGATTCTTGACTGTTTTTTTTTTCAAAGTCTGTCTCTTTCTTAAAGTAATCTTTTGCTACCTGTATTTGTTCATTAGGTCATTCCTTAATTCACAGATCATTTTCATTATGAAACTTCTGATCTCCTCTGACATTTCATCAACTTCCATGGGTTCTGTTATTATAGTGTCCTGGTTTGTTTGGGGCACTTTCCTCTCTTGTTTTTTCATGTTGTCTATGTGTCTTCCTTTCTTGTAATGTGGATCTGAGATATTACGGTTTTTATCCTATTATATAATGGTAGTATCTATGCAGATTGTCAGTGCCTCACCTTGATGTTGGGCTTCCAGACCCTTCCAGTCCCTCAATGTATGCTACTGCCTCTAAGGTTGGTGGCGGCAATAGCAGAGGTAACTTGAGATAATACTAGAGGTGCCCCATATGGAAGCAGTGTCTTACAGAGATGGAGATGAAATGGTGGGCCTCACACTCTCTTTGGGATGCCTGCTCTGAGATGCAGCTTCTTGAAGGCCCTGTCTATTGTCAAAAAGGTAGGGGGGCTACGGTGTGGGGAAGGCTATGATACTCTGCAGTGTCCCAAGAAGGAAGTGGGTTAGGCTTAGGCTCCCAGGTTGGGAGGGGTGAACTAGGACCTACCCTGGACCTGGGTCCCACGCAGGTTGGTGAGGGTGGATCTTTGCTGGGCCTGATCTCCCACAGTAATCTGCTGGTTGGAAGGGATGGTCCTGTGCTGGAGGCCGGGCTCTGGCGGGTGTCTGCAGTGGATGGATAGACCTGGGTGTACTGTGAGCCTGGGTCCCAAGCAGGCTATATGGGCAGGTCTGGGCTGGGCCTGGCCTCCCATGTTAATCTGCTGGTTGGAAGGGATGGCCCTGAGCCAGAGGCTGGGTTCTGTGCCCTGCTGGTGGAGGGCTGGACGAGGCCTACTGTGAGCCTGGGTCCTCTGCAGGCCCCTTCTGAGTTTTCTTTATTCATGTGTTTTCAGGATGGTAGTTTTCATCCTTGGTTTCCCCAGTGGTTAAGATTAGAGTTGTGGACCACCATGCTGGTTCCTCATGTCGTTGGAGGGGTAAGTTTAAAGTGTATAGTATTCTTGGTTGCCAGTTATTTTCTTTCAGTATTATGAATATATCATCACATTCTCTCCTGGCTGTAAGGTTGCTGCTAAAAAATGTGTTGTGAGTCTAATGGGCATTCTATTATATGTCACTTCACATTTTTCTCTTGCTCTTTTAGAACTATTCTTCTTGCATTTCTTTCATTTTTCTGTAACACACCTTCATGAAGGTCTCTTTTGGTGCTTCCTGTATCAGAACATCCTTATTTCTTTGGAGGTTTGGGAAGTTTTAAACTATTATTTTGTAAGCTGTATTTTCAATGGCTTTCACATTTTCTTCAGGTTCAGGGGTTCTGATAATGTGAACATTCATTCACTTATTAGTATCCATAAGCCTGCTCGGCTTTCATTTAATTATTTCTTTGGTTGGTTGGTTTTTTGTTTTTTTTAGACTAACTGGGCAAATTCTACAGACTCTCCTGAAGTTCAAAATTTCTTTCTTCTGCTCATCAAATCTGTTATGCAAACTCTCTATTAAATTCTTTTTTGATTTTTTGCAGATGTAGATCCAAGATTTCTGATTGGTTGTTTTTTAATGTGGTGCTGAGGATCAAACCCAAGGCTTCAAGAATGCTAGGCAAAGACTCTACGACTCAATCAAATCCCCAACCCTAGTTTTCTTTTAATTTTTATTCTAATTGTTGATGGACCTTTATTTTATTCTTTTATTTATATGCATTGCTGAGAATCTAACCCAGTGCATCACACATACTAGGAAAGTGCTCTTAACACTGAGCCACAACCTCGCTCGTGGTTGTGTCTGCTTTATGATTTCTACCTCTTTGGGGAATTTCTCGTTCATAACCAGAATTTCCTTTTCTCATTTCTTATTATCATTCTTCCATTTGGCTTACATCTTACTGATATTCCTTACCACATTTTAAACTTTTTTAAGGTATTTTACAACTGTTCCTCAAGTGCAGATATATTCCTGGGGAATTATTTTCCACATTGATGGTGTCAAGTTTCCATTCGTGATTCTTGTGTCCAGACACTGATGTGTGCACATCTACTGTAATTTTAGAGAATATAATTTTCCAATTTTATGGAGTGGACTTTGCAGGAAGGATGCTATGTAGATGGACTATAGGATGTCAGTTGTACAAATGCATTAGATTTGGCTATAGGGAGGTATAAAGAATAGTATCTGTGATTTTTTTTAAATTTATGTCCACACTGCATGAGGACCTCGATATCTGACTGCAGTTTGAGAAACTAGGTATCCAACATTTCAGTGAATGTAAGCATGAAAAGTGTGTATCCTCTGGCTCCAGTGCCAATCCCTGATGGAAATGAAGCTTTTGGTGACAGCTGCCACCATCCTGACACCATCCCAAGAAAGGAGCACAAGTGGTACTAGGGCTTTTGGCACCAGCATCTCAGGTCTGAAGTCTGTGGTCTGCGGAGAGTATTGATGTGTTTCTGATGATGGTGCAGGTCATGTTTGGAACTTTGACACTGGTATCCATGCTCCTGGAGGTGGGGAGATGTATATGGAGATACCTCCACAGGTCCCATGGGTTTTACACAGGAGGTGCCGAAGACTGTGGTTTGATATTTGCAATCCTGAAGAAGCAGAATAGGGCTGAAACTGTCTCTAGATCATGTGAGGCCAACTCTGGTCAGAGCCCATCTTGTAGTGTTGGTAGTTACAATCGTAGGGCTACATGACTAAGTCAAGCTTGAGTGATGTTGAAGCTATTTTCAACAGCAGCTGCAATTCCCAGGGCATTGGCATTTTCCCTAATTTCTACCAGGTGATCAAATGTGGTGCTGGGTAATGATGCTATTGGATTTCTTATTCCAGGAGCTATGCAAAATATCTTCCACAGCCTGTTCATTCCCAGTGGGCTGGTGTAAGTAAAGTCCATACTTTGCCTCAGCATCTCAGGCTTGAGGATATGGAGACCTTCCCAGATTCTGCAAGATGATTTCAGGTACTGGTGGGAATCTGGACCACTGGTAGTCATAGTTCTGGAGTGGTGGGACTGTGCTGGAAGTTTTCTCATTTCCCAAAGAATAGAAATGAGTGAAGGTGGGCACTATATATAGGGTATACCACAATTTGAATATCTGTTTACTGGTTGATGGGCATTTGGGAATTTTTTTGTTCATTTTTTAATAAAATCACTATGAATATTTAAAAGAATAAAAAAGAAATGAGTGAAGGTGGGACTTTCTAACACTAGTGGTGTGGCCCAGTGGGTGTTTGGCTAGATCTGGACAGGTGAGCACAGGTGGTGGGCTTGGGCCACTAACTCCTACATTTCTGGAGCTGTGGGACACCGAAAACTGAAAAATAAATATTAAAAAATTCTCTCTCTTTCTCTTTCTTTCTCTCTCTCTCTCTTTAAAAAAGTAAAAAATAAAAATAATGACTTATGTATAGATACCTGTTTAGATGACTGTGTCTTTACATGGACAATTAGCACTTATTTCATATAAGATAGATACTTTTTTAGACTTTATTTTCATTTCAAGGATACACTATATGCAAACACTTTGTATTATTCTTTCATAAAATTCTAGATTCAACTAATCCCACTTTATAAGGACTTCTGTGTCTGTTTTGATCCTTAAAATTAATTTCAAATGGCTGGGCATGGTGGCGCACACCTGTAAACTCAGTGGCTTGGAAGGCAGAGGCAGGAGGATCACAAGTTCAAAGCCAGCTCAGCAATGATGAAGTGCTAAGCAACTCAGTGACACCCTGTCTCTAATAAAATACAAAATAGGGCCAGGGATCTGGCTCAGTGGTGGAGTGCCCCTGAGTTCAATCCTTGAAACAAAACAAAAAATTAACTTCAAGTGGTCTAGTGCTGACTTTTCCCAGTTTAGATTTCAGGTAAAACAATATCCGTGGATGACATTAGCAGCCTACTTTATTGTAATTTTATTTAAATTTTTTTAAATCAGCTTCCAAAATATGTTAACTATCTACCATTTCAAATATGGTGATAGAAATAGAGTACCCAACAGTAAGAATGTCCTATCATTATACTGCATTTCAAAGTCACAATGATTTTCCCTGTGTGGTCTGTAATGGTTCTGACTGTAGAAATGTACAGGACAGCGAGTTTTCTCTGGTTGTGGAGAGGGCTGACAGCAAATGGGAGAGCAGCGTCTGACATTGGGGCCTCTGATGACTTAATGCTGTGACATGCTCAGTGCCTAGGAAAGTTTCTGTGCAAAGGTGCAGGATATGTAGCTGCTGTGGCAGTGCCCTCCATGAAGAGGCTGTGTGCTAGAGTCTTATCAGCCTCTACCTTGATCTCAGGCACTCAGCTCCTTGCAATAAAGGAACTGGCTTGCTAGACAACCACAATGTTTCACCAAGCTCCACTGCTCCTGAATCTCCAGAAAACAGGAACTTTAAACAATGGACTTAATCTTGAGAGCTAGCCAAAGATCAAGTGACCATGCCAGGAAAATGCAGCATCAGAGCAAATATATTAATTCCAACAATTTTGTTTATTTTTCCCTCTCTTTGCCACATTTAACGCCTAGAGTTGTGCTCTAATGCTGTGTTCCACAGTAGGTATGACCCCTCAGGGTGAGATTGGAAGTAAAAACAAGGACATCTACTCTGCTATTGCTTCTGAAGACAAAATCTTTAAGCCCAACCCATTAACTGGCCCCTGACCAGGGGAGGTCTGTGGGGAGGAGCATCACACAGCATCTTACCACTTCCCCTGTGCATTTTTTTTCCTTCTCTTCACCTTATCCAAAGATAGGAAGGTTGGCCATTGGCTCTTGGGAGTGGCTCTTGGGAGTGGTCCTCATTCTTCTGTTCCCACATTCTAGTTATTTGTGAAAAAAAGTGAGAAAGGGGAGAACTGGGTTAGCCTGAGAACAGCTGAAGAGCCATTTGCATCTGCACAGGGATCAAGACTTTTGTTGAGACAGAAGCACAGGCAGTAGTGGCAGTGGCCGTACAACTCCCGGGTCTTGAGGAGCCAAGCCATTGGGTGCTGGGTTCCTAGATCTGATCACTGCACATGACTCTTTTCCCTTCTCTACCAACAGGGCTTTACGATGTTTTGGATTTCCACTGATGCAAACTTTCAGGTTTCACAAGTACCATCTCCATTAGATCATTGGTAGTGATCACCATGTGTGTGGCTAAGAAGAGTTTAATAGCCCAGTAACCCACACTGGAAGACACCATCACCTCAGCATTCAGGAAATGTGACTGATTTCTCTTGTGGGTTAACACTTACTTGCAGTAAGTCATTTTTCAAAGGCCAGCAAATCTTATTCTCACAAGACTTTGGCATGCTGTCAAGCATTAGTGCTAAGGAAAGCTCACACACTGGCCAGGAATTTTGCACTGCAGAAATAGATGAGATACTTCTCCCAGGTTCCATGGGGGACTAATGCCTTATGCTTCACCTATCAGCACTTGGACCATCAGACATCATGAATGTGCCCCTTAACAGAAGGGTGCACACTACTGCTGAAAGGGAATCAGCACCCAAGAGACAAGGCCACCACTGTTACCTGCTCAATGATAACAATTGCTAGACAACGAGGCAATGTACTTAGTTCACCTCGAGGTGTGTATCCCCTTTCTTTCTTGAATTTCACAAAGAACTATCTCTGGGCCTCTCCCAGGAGTATTTGCTTATTATGTTCACTTGGATATTCCAAGCAATCAGCAATGGTTCCCAGATTAAATGCAGGGTCCACAGAGCTTTAGCCTGTCTCTTGTTAATCAGGACTGAAGCACTGGCTGGGTTGCTGTACTGTTTTCCCACTGTCTTGGTAGAGAAAGGCATACATTGAGCAAAGTCAGTGAGTCACTGCTGTATAGGGGATGCAGATACTCATGTAAGGGAAGAAATGACAACACCAAATACAAATCAGGAAGTGTGTGCAAACAAAGGCCAACCCCATCAAAAACTGTAGCTTCTGACTCAGGTGACTTTCACTATACCATGGAACCAGTCACCAAGAGCAATTAGTAAAAGCTGAGCAGCTGTTTTCATTCATGTTGGCTCCATTCTGTTTATGCTACAAAGGTTTCTAACAGCCTCCCACTCACACCACTAGCTACAAATGAATTAACACCCAGGGTGACTTGGACAAACATGTAACACCCCCATTGGACACATAAGAAAAAAGGAAATGTATTACATACACACATAGTTATGCAGAGGATAGCACAGTAAGCCATCCAGGCCCACAGAGGGATTGCACTTGATTGCAGAGAGAACAGTGGACAAGGGGGAAAGAATTTGTAGTATCATCTAAGTAAGATACCCTTTGGTTCCCACAAAATTATGTGCTTGGTTTGAGACAGGGCTGGTTAGGAGGAAACAGAAACATCTTTTACTACAAATTGATAAGAATTTAATACTATACAATGATGCTGTAAAATACTGTATGCTATATTAATTACATAGTACATAATTATATTATCAAAGAAACTAGTTATATAGTATACATTATTTACTTATAAAATTGTACTATATCCTACATACAGGTATATGTATGCATACATACAGTTTATGTGCTAAATAATGTGTACTACCTATCAGTGTACACTAATCTCTTTGCCTATAGATACAAAAAGTCTCAACAACATAATAGAGAGCAAACTATGCACCAGGCACAGTGGCACGCACTTGTAATCCCAGCAGTTCAGGAGGCTGAGGCAAGAGGATTGAGCCTTCAAAGCCAGCCTTAGCAATGGTGAGGTGCAAAGCAATTCAGTGAGACCCTCTCTGTGAATAAAAAGTACAAAATAGGGCCAGGGATTCAGTGGTCAAGTGCCCCTGAGGTCAATACCCAGTACTCCCCCCCCCCCCCAAAAAAAAAAAAAAAAAAAACTATGTAAAGACTCCAAACTTGTTTATGTATGAAAGGAAAGGCCTTGTTGAGCCCAGGACTCAGACTTGGCGGATTACCCCTCTGGGACCTGGTGCCACTAATAAAGTGTTGCTTCCAGATTCCTGATCTTGGTGTCCTCCCACTCATTTCCCGCTAATGCTCACCACACAGTCTGGAAGCAGGCTGCAGGAGCGACCCAGGGATGACCTAGGAAGGTCGACAAAATGGAAGGTACAGGATGACAGGGACCAGACTTGGCCAGCCTACCCTGCACGCTCAGCAGACAGGGTCCCAGAGTGACCTACCAGAAGATTCTTGGCTGCACACTGTGCAGTTGACCTCACGACCCGCCACCCAGCCCACTGTGAGGGACCCAGGGATTGGCAATGCTCACCCCCATGCCAGGGCCCCAGGGCAGTTGCTGACCAGGTCCCTCCAGTCCTAGCTGCAGACTCACCTGCTGTTCTCCCAAGGTATGTCCCTGGACATGCAGGCTGCAGGAATTCTCTGGGGCTTCTGGGGCCTCGAATGACTGACCTGCAGAGTAAGGAGAGGACTGGTGAGAAAAGAAAACCCGGGAGACTGTGGAAACTTTCCCCTCCTTCTGCACCTGAGCGGACAGTTCCACCCCAGGGCCCCTGACAGACAGGGGACAAGCACCCCTCCTAGCATTGAGTGACAGCCCATGTCATCCAGTCCCTGGCTGTTGCAGGCCCGAGTGACAGATACTCGGCCCAGCCCTTCTCAGGCAGGACAGCTGAGCCCTATGGGTACCCGACAGGGACCAGAATGTCTGCATCTTGGTGTAGAAGGCCACAGCTAAATAGGAGCACAAGGGTGGGCGGCAGGCAGAAATCAATGAGCAGTTCATGGCTGGGAGCGTGAGAAATAGGTCAGCGATCCACTTCCAGAATTCAGCGCTTGGCGTCAAGTATAAGTGACAGAATGCAGGGCAGGCAGCTGGAGGGGACAGCAGGGTAGGAATCCCAAGCAGGTAAGGAGAGTGCGAAGGTCTATCTACAGCCCTTAGAGCCTGCCGGAGTACGGCTGCAGCAAAATAACTGGGGGGTGACGAACAACTTGTGTATGTTGATACAGCAGGAGTAGGAGCCATTTATTGCAGGACAGGAGCAGTATTTATACATTCCACACAGCTTATCTAATTAGCATAAACTAGATACATCAGTCAACCAATAAGGAATCTCCACACTTAATAGCTCGCTTTTGTTACTTCTCAAACCACTCCCTCTGGCATTTTGCCAGGCACCATCCAGACTTGTTTACGAACTCTAACAATTCCCCCTTTTGTTTAATTTAAATAACGACCATAGTGGTTTTTACACAAACACCATAAATAACCTGCTACAAACAGAAAGGGAGGATACAAAATGCCACAATACCAAGCCAATTGATGGCTCCATGCAAGAAGCCCTTGGAAAAATTATACCAGCAATGATACCATTTGCAAAGATACCGAGTTACAATTTGTTGTAGATTACAGTTTGTTGTCTCAGTCCAGGTAAAGCAGTGTCTCAATAGATTAACTCACAGTCCAGGTAAATCACAGTCCAGGTAAGTTCTGCAGGCAGCTAGCTTAAATCACAGTCCAGGTGAGTTCTGCAGGCAGCTAGCTTAAATCACAGTCCAGGTAAGTTCTGCAGGCAACTAGCTTGATCCGAAGTCTCGTCCGTTTCTCAGCCGAAGTCTCAACCGGTTTTCAGCAACACTGGAAATTCTTCCACCTTCGTCTTCACCCGCACTGGGACGAAGGCAGGAACTCCGGATGGCTAAAGAAAATCCTATAGCATTGCACGAAGAAAACAACCTTCTGAACAATTTAGTACATTATCTCAAGGTTTTTTTGCATTTGAAATAAGCATTAATAGTGCTCATTACTCATCAGCTTCCAGGTGTGGGAGAACCATTGTAGCTTAGTTATTGGCATTGAAAATGACCAAACATCAGGGACACCAGTAGCATCTTCTGCTGGCTGTAGTGCCTTGGGCAGCCCCAGGGCCATCCAGCCTGAGCCGCCCACCCAGAAGTCGCCATAACTAAGCTTCTCCTCTTGTCAGATCAGCAGGATGTCTGCAGGTTACTGTGGTTGAGACTTCCTCTGTCTTGTAAATGTCAGGTTTGCACACAAAAGATGTGAGTTAGTGTACAAGCTCCTTGTGCACAAAGAGATTTTCTGTTTCTTGGTTAAAAAAGAAAAAAAAATCGTAAATCTATGTCTGTTCTAGGGGATGGAACAGAAATCACTTGTCATATGAATCTCCACATACCCCTTCCCCACATTGGATATAAAGTTCAAAGTATTTCCAAAATCTTTATTCAGAAGAATTCTTAGCCGAGAGCCATCTCTGAATCCTGAGGTCAAGAAACCTGCTTCCTGAAAATTCATCAGGTGTCTATCCTATCCTACTTCATTATGATGAACAGGAGGGGAGAAGGAAGACCCAAGCACTACAGGAGGATAAACTAGAAAATGTAGTAAAGTGACCAGGTGTCCTCATGGGCCAAGGTGCAACATCTGCACTCAAGAGGAAAGATAAATAATGTCCATGTGTTATGCCCTTTTCAATTCTTTATTCACTCAAAAGCACTCAATACAGTATCTCCCCCACCCCCTCTCTCTCGCTAGGGATTGAACCCAGTGATGAACCTAGCCTAATTCCATTTTAAGATTGGAAGCCATCCCATCACAAAGTCAAGAAAAATTAATTTCTGTTTTACTATAAATGTGATTTCTAAACTTGTTTGGAATTCCTGCCTTGAACTCACCCATGCCTGGCTTCCCTTAACCAGATAATAACCCTCTCTGAAACCTTAGCAGCACCTTATAAATTCTTATGTTGGGATCTGAATTTATTCCCTACCTTGAAATATCATACCATGTAGATCACTAACCTGCTATCTGCCTTTGTATTATGCTTATCAAAATCCTGTTAGCTGTAAGTTCTCAAGACACCCCCCTTTGCAACTGTTTGTGCTATAAAACTATGCTCCTAGAGAGCTGGGGTGTTGTTCTGTAAGGGACCGGCGAAACGTCGGAGGAAGAGACCACCAAGAGACTGACTTCATGCAATAAGCAGAAGGGGATTTTTATTGAGGATCCGATTCAGCGCGCTGAGGCTCCAGGCTCACTCAGGAAGGGAGAGCAGCCCAGAGCCCAGAGCCTGAGTTGAACAATGCTTAAGTACACTTTTTGGGGAGGGCGGGGGCTTTGCATACATCATAGTCTCCTTTAACAAATCACCTTACACCACGGGAAAATCAAACAATAACTCCTAGACTTGATTAGTACATTCATTGGTGGGAACAGGGCTGGCTGGAGTGATAGGTCATTCCTAAGGAGGGGGTTACATTTAAACTGATTGGTTCAGGCCCTGAATGTCTATGTGACAAGCTGCACAGGATCTTAGGCTATAAATCAACTAAATGGCCAGTAGGGCATTGTCTTAACTGCCTCAGGAATTTAACCCATGCTTTGCAGTTCAGAAGCAGGTTTATAATGCCTGGTCCTTTACATTTTAACTCAGGCTTTGCAGCTTAGAAACTTTACCCTTTCAGTTCTCTATAGAGCCCAGGGTTTTCAGGACAGACAGTTCTGGCCATAATTACAAGTTTGCTTTAATTTGATCTAAAATTGGAGTTGGTCTTTTCTTTGTGTCATGGTTTAACACAAACATATTCTAAGTTAACTCTAAGCACTGCAAACACAATCATGACAGACCTATTACAGACATTCCCTCTGCATGCTAAGCTTAAGATTTAAAGTCTTAAGTCTCGGGTCTCAAGTCCAGCAGATCCACATTTACTCAGACCACAGTGACCAGGTCAGGAACCGATGGATTCTTCTCGTGGGGTGAATCTGACGGCTGGCTGAGGAGATGGTTGTAAGAAGAAGTTACCTTTCTCACCAGGGTCAAGAGGCTGCTGTAGAGTTGGAAAGTAGTGAGGACGATCCAGAGGATCAGGCAGATGATGAGAAGAGCTGGGTTGTCAGTCCATGTTCTCATCAGGCTCTCAGGCTTGTGTGCATCAGTGCCCATTGGCTGAATGTCTGTCCTTTTGCTCTATTATTTATATCAATTTTGGGAGCTTCTGCTCTCCCTTTAGGTCCCTATAAGCTGTTACCCAGTTTCTTAGTGACATACTTCATCTTAGGGAGGACATATGGTCTGGTGGTTTCTACCCTGATATTACCCTCCGACTTTTATCAGGGTTAAGGCAAATGGCATGTGACTTCACTCTTTTATCAGGGTTGTGAAAATGACTTGTTTTTATCAGGCTATGCCTGGTGACATACGCTTGCCTGGTGAGACTGCAGGCTTATTTTAAATTGGAGTTGCTTAGGTTAAGGCCTAAGGCCATCCCCACACCAGGCAGTGGGGATATTGGGCCCCATTCAGCCACACCTGGCTCCACAGCTCTGTCCCTAATTCCCTCCTCCTCCAGCCATACCCTACTACTTCAGTTACCACTCATAATCCCCATCAGGGGGTTAATTCACTGATTGGGTTAACATTCTCACAACCCAATCATTTTCCTCTGAATGTTCTTGCATTGTCTATCCCATGAGCTTTTGGGAGACACCTCACATCCAAACCATAACAACCCCATCATATGCCTCTAGACTTCCCTAAAGGACAAGAGCCCATTAAGATCCAGATGATCATGGACTATGACTCCATGGAGCTGCCTCCCAACTTCTACCAAGGTCCCCTGGGTAGACCCTTTGTAAGGTTTCCCTGACTTTTCTCTTTTCAATCTTTCAGCTATAGTTCCCACCAGAAAGCAAGCAGGAGTGAGTCATGGCTGGAGTCAGGTAAATAGTCACTCAAGTGCTTGTGGGACTGACTACAGACAACTTGGTTGGTCTGGGTAAAGCTCATCTCTGAGCACCTTAGGCTATCTATGTATCCAAAGACGGCCTTTGCATGCTCATGTGAGCAGGGTAGCCATGGTACCAGGGAATAATTCCCCCCAAAATTCAGGGGCAGGCGCCTGTGCCCAGCACTGGGGGAAGGGTGGTAGAAATTGCCTGGGCGACCACCTTCAGCGTAACATTGGTATGAAGCTGGTCTTTTCCCTGGTCTTGGATGGCAGGCTCCCACATCTCCTAAATCTAGAAGTTGGTGCCCCTCCAGTCCCTTCTGTCACAGCATCACCCCCAACGTAGCGGAGCACCCTGTGTATGAGTCAGTCACTTTTTGTGGTGCTGGGGACTGAACCCAGGGCCTTGTGCATGCAAGGCAAGCTCTCTACCAACTCAGCTATATTCCCCAGCCAGAGTCAATCACTTACTGAAATGCATTTGGTTCATAAGGCAGCTATCCATAGAGCCAGTGCTTTGGACTGTCTTTATGTCCCCTAAAACAGTCCCAGTTCACATGATAGGTCCCTTCTAAATAGCTCCTCCTGGCTAATGCACCTCGAATGTTCACTGGATAATAATGTGAAATCTTCTTCCAAAGCACAACTATTATGCAGATTTCTGGTTACTTATCCAGTTAGGTTATCATCCCACAAGG